TTGAATTTGGTTTAATCGCCTGAGCATTCAAGCCTCATTTACATTAATTTTTAATGTTTTTGAGAGAGTTCAATTTGATGTCTATATAAAATAAAGAAGTGACTTCCACTAGCTTTACTTGTCCCTTTTCTACAATATGCTTTCATAAAGGAACAGAGGCCACAAGATAGAAGACACATCTTGGTCTGATTAATATGTTTTTCAAAAAACCTCCCCTTGCATCATAACCTTTTTCTTATACACTTCTCTGTAAAATGAGATTTAGCAAAATAAAACTACTTGCAAGGATATTTTCTTCCCTCTGTTTCTTGAGGCTAGCATAATCATGCTTAAACTTTCTGTAAGATACAAGATTGGTTTTTTTCCCTATTAGGCAGGGCAAAAAGAGCCAATGATCGACAGAGGCATAAACACGGCACGTCTTGAAATTGCAGGGGTCTCTGAGCTGATGTTTAATTATGTAATCTCCAGAGGGCAGGTGGGTCCAGGGGGCTTCCATTAATGCCATCATGTGGAGAAGAATCCCAGCCCAATAATTAACCATGAAGCTCAATCACTTTGCATTCCTAGTTAATACCCTGGGATACCCATAGCCACGCACTGAGATTAGCAACAGCTTTGGCAGATCTCGCTATTACACAATGCTAGTTATCACAGTTACTCAGAGAGGATGGCGAAAGCCTGAGATGGTTAAGCATTTCTCTGGCAGGCTACCTTCCTCCTCTGCACTCCATCTTCATCATTAACTCGCCAACAGTCCCAACACTGTCCTAACTATGGCCCATTCAAAGCTCGCCCTGCACCCCCTCCTCCCCTTGCTATCTAGTTAGCAATGTGGAACTCCGGAGAACTGCTGACTTTCATTTAGAATTGCTGCCTCAGCACATTCAAAATTGGTTTAATTTTCTCTGTCCCTAAACAATGAAGTTCTGTTTATACACACAGAATGTTTAGTGTCCTATCATTATTATCAATAAGGAGAAAAGGTCAACTGGTCTGAGGAGAAAGAGATGCTGGCTATTTTTGTCGCTATTATTTGAATGTCTTTTTCATCAGTGTTCACACTGTATTCCTGCTCCAACAGTTGGCAAGAGGAGCCATGTTCTGTTACTAGCCGTTCACCCATCCCTTCCTTTGATTTCTGCTGTAGCCACTAAAGAACAGAGATGGGTGACCTGTCTAACTCCATCCACCTACAGCTCCACTCAAATCAAGACAACCCTCCAGCTCAGTACCCAGTCAGTCAAAGGAAGCTCATTTAGAGAGAAACTTACTGTTTTCTTCTTCTGCTTCTTGAGGTAACACTTTGAAATCCAGGAACCAGGTCTCAATCCAGGCAAGGATGAATGAAATGATGGGCAGCACATAGCCAAAAGCTCCTTGAGAGAAAAGCTGGAAGAACAGATGCCACCAGGAGAGGGAAACACAGTTAGCACGAGCTCACATGAGAAAACGAGGCTTGGTCATTACAGACGGCAAATGTACGAGAAAGCGCGAGGCCGTACCTTTGAGAGGATCACTTTTGCTAATAAGAAGGCACTGGTCACTGCGGTCGTCAGCTGGAAGACACATAAGCCAGAACCTTCCAATTAGACATGCCTTACGGTGAAGGCACCTCCCTCTCGCAGGAACTGTCACCCATCTGAACGAGGAGCGGGCCGATAACTAAAAAAGCTACGCTTGGCCCCAGGGCCCGGCTCCTTTCCGCATCACTCTACCTCTGTCCCCTAAAACCCAGACTGGGGCAAAGTCAGATTCTACGTGGCACTCACCCTCTCACTGCTGCTTGTGGTTTCCCTTCTCCCACTTTTTAGAAGGCTGCTGTGCTGGGAAACTAAGTTTTGTCCATCAAGGTAAAACATACAAACCCATTACCACCACTTAAAAGAAGGATCAACGAAATCCATAGGCAGGGCTCTTCCTAGGGGTTGTGAAACCCAGAGAGAATCCCACAGTTTCTAGGCCATGTCACTCCATCCTCCAACGACTATTTTTAGCAGGGTAAAACCTGACCAAAATAAATGCCAACAGCAGCCTTGACTGACAGAATGGAGGCTGGGAAGCATCAGGTACCACACTTCGTAAGTAGTAACAAATCTGGAAAGTTAGTACTGGTTAACAAAACACACACGCACACGCACACGCACACGCGCACACACACACACACTCCAGCCAGAGTGAGTTGCTTGGTAGAGGTAGCCTTTCAAATGCTGATGCCAATTAACTTTATACGCTGACACTAACTGTTCTTTAGGTGCCAGCTGACTTCTCCTTCCAGCTGTCTGGGCTCTCTCTGCAAGGGTTTTTAAAAACAAGTACCAGAAACAAAAAAAAATGAATTTGCTAAATCTGACCTGTCCTTTTAATAATTTGAAAGTAGATATTCAAGATAATGTCTTAAAACCCTCATAGAGTAGCTCTATGTCAACCATATCTCTAAAATAAACGGGACAGATCATCTGACAAACAATACACGTTATGGAGACTCCGGGAAAGACTACCCCAAATGGGGAACGTTGTAAAAAATTTGGAAGGTACAATCATCACAGCAGTTGTGATATGGACAAAATAGTATTTAGAAAAGGGAGAGAAGTCTGGCCAAGACTGTCTACCTACATTTGTGAATGTGAGCTTCACCTCAGTAGATGGTCTAATCTCAGCCCTATGATTCTGTAAATGATCAGAGGTGATGGCTCAGGCAGACATGGCCCTGGTGGAATCCACCCTAGGAGAGTGGCGGACTCCCTTCCCAGCTGATCAAGCCTGAGCCCAGCCCACACACAGACTGAAGGCCGCACACTCTAATCGCTGAACTGCAGGTATTCCTGAGCATTCTTTCCAGTCTGATAAGCTTGACACTTTCCCCCATATACCTGCCTCTTTAGAGCTCTCAAAAACGTGAGTGTTCAGACGTCTATGGAAATGGCAAAAATAATTCAGGCAGAATAGCTTATAACTTTTCTTTCCATCAATAAATATTTACTGAGGGTGAACAGCATGCGCCAAGCTCTGTTCTAGATGGAAGAAAACAAATGAGTAAAAAGTCACTGCCTTCAAGGAGCCCAGAGGTAACAAGAAAAAAGAGCATCGGAGATTTCCCTTCAAGATCAAAGGTAGGGAAACAAAATGGGGGTGGGGGGAGAGAGAAGACTTTATCAAAATTAGTAGAGTCCAAATCAGGAAAAATGGTTAAGCAGTTTTTACCAAACAAGAACAGTTCCAAGTATCTTTGTGGCAGTGGTACTGATCCCATCTCTTATATGCAAAATGGAGTAAATGGTTCTTGGTCAGTAATCACTCTCGGGCCTCTGGATTCCTCATTTGGACCAGTGTCTATAGAGATGAATCTAATTACCCATTAACATTGGAAAGAAGTCCTGGAGTGTTAAAGCTACTGAATGGGGAAGAAGGAAATCAGGAAAAGCTAGTGGAATTCAACCCAGATTTAAATAGCATCTTATCCCAGCTCTAGTTGTGTTAGCAGGTCCTGGCCAACCCCACTGGATGGGATCATCCACTCATCCAGGGCATACTCACTGCGATTGCCCACCAATGGCGCAGTCTGCATACAGCATAAGCAAGTATTAACACTTTAAATCGAAAAACTGCCAAAAGCTGTTAAAAAAAGGAGAGAGATAAGTTATTTAGAACATATATTAAAAATAATCTAGCTTTAAGAAAAACTCACCATATAGTTTTCATTATTCAGATCTAGCTGGCACTAGACTATAGCATTTGGCAATGCTTGCTCTAAAACTTAATTATAATACTACCCAAATAAGGCTTTCAAATTAATTTCCCATTATCAAAGAAGAACATGTCATTAAAGGTTTATTTTTTCTTTGAGCCCATATATATAAATACACACATGATTATTGTTTTAAGATAGCAGAAAATCTTCTGAAAGTTGACTTTTCCATTCTAAACACTCACTTTTAGAAGCTACCAGGTTACACGGTTCTCAGTAAAGCCCACATCAAACCTCTGGGTTACTGGGGTCTTGGTAAGAGGTCTGCCTATTCCAGTAGCTAACATCTCATTATCTACTATGGGTCACTGAAGCCCTTTATGTGTATTATTATCCTACGTAATCCCCCCCCAACAATCCCATGAGTCAATTATTATCACTAATCCCATTATACAGATGGGGAAACTAAGGCAGAGAGGCTAAGAAAATTGTTCAAAGCCACCCAGCTCCTCAGTGATGAAGCCAGGATTTGAACCCAGGCAGCTTGACTCCAAAGAGCAGGGCTCTTAAACACTATGTCACAGCTATCTTAGTAACTCTCATGCACTAAAAGATTAAACATAGAACAAAATGTTACCAATTTTAGTTGGAAAATATGCCAACCTGGTAGGGAGAAGTCAGGTGACTCCTGAGCATTGAGTCACGGTAGGGATGTGTCAAAAGTTCCTCACTAATCAAAACTGCTGAAAGGCTGGAGGCTGACAACTTCTTCACTGTCATGGACCAGAAGACCTCACTTAAGATCTTTTTATGTAAGTGAAGTTTGCAGGTTACATTTGTTCTTAATTTGCCACTTTCACTAAAAATGCGTTTGCCAACAATCTGCCCACTGTTTTGTTTCTTCAGTCATTTCAACTCTACTCTGCGTTCTGGACACAAATGGACAAGTCTTTACCCCTTTATCTCTAAGTCTCCCAGATCCTGAGGTTTCCCAGAGGTTGTGTCCATTTCCTAGGTCAGACATGACAGTCCTCCCAATTTGAGTTAATGGGTCCTACCTGTTTGTCCAATACCATTAAGTCCCTTAGCATAGAGGCCAGATAGCCCTTGGAGATCTGGCTGGTGGATTAACCTGGCTTCCTGACAGTTCCTGACTCAGGCCATTTCAAGATAAAATTAGTAAGAGAAAAAAAAAAGAAATCATTTTATTTTTATGTGTTAACAGCTCTAGAAGAAATAAATATCCATAAATTTGGGACCTCAACATGCTTTGCTACTAACTTAAATGACCTCGAGTAGGTTGAGAAACTGAACCATGAAATTATTTCTTCATTTTGGAAAAATGAGGGGATTAAACTACATCAATAGTTTTCTAAACATTCTGTAGCAAACACTTTTTCAACAAAATCCTATGTGGAAGCCTAACATACTGAACAGATGAAAGCGGAACTACTCAGGTTGCAGGTGGTCCTACCCTTAACCACGTGCATATTGCCTCCATGAGTCTAGACACAGCAAAGACAATAGTTAAGATGAATTTTGGGGAACCCACTGTGAAATTTAATTGCCTAACCTATGTCTAACACAATGTTAGAGTCGGACTTACATGATAAACTACAAAGACATACTACTGAGCTACAGCAAATCGAAGTCATAGTGTATCCTAGAAATATAATGCAAGCTCTCATTTAAATAAAATGAATGCCTCATCTACAGATAAACTGCATCTATTTAATTCTAAAACTAATATTGCCCAAGATTACCAATATATAACTTTACTCAAAAACCCCTATTACAGCAGAATAAAACATAGAATTATTATTAAAAGCACACCCTGATAAAAATCTATCTGAAAGCAGAAAAGAAATATCGCTTTCATTGTGCAATTATGTAAAAAGGTGAGTTTTCCTTTGAGTCATTAGGGTATGTCAATGGGTGCATTATTTTAACCATTTGAAAGAATAAAGGCTCCCCTCCAAGGAAATGGGAATGGCTTCTTCTGCTGCCTTCTATTATCTCCCATCAATCCTTTTTTCTTGAGATAACCAGACAAGTCCTCAGCAAGAGAGAAGGAGCACTGAATGGGCCTGTTACTAAGGGAGAGGGAAACACAGTGTTCAAGGGAGAAAAAAAGAATGGCAGAAAATTTGAGGCCTATTTAAAGGAAATTCGCCTTTTGTTTTCAGCGTGTCAGAAAGAAAATATAAAACAGAAAATACTTACAAATATATCAAAATAAGAAGAGTAGTAGTCATACTGCACTACCTCCTTCTCTAACGTGCTCTCGATGCCTCCATTCACCTAGGAGGAGAGTAACAAGTAAAAACAATGAGAGATCTTTGGGTGGAAATAGTACAAAGGAACACACAAGTAAGGTTCGATATGTACTTGTCTGCCTATCTTCTTAGAACCCAGAAATGCTAAAATATGCAAGAAAAGAACATTATAGTTGCAATAGAAAGTGCTGAATAGAATTTCCACTTAATTCTGAACTCATTCATTCAACACATATAAATGTGTAATTAAAAACAGTGTAGTTCATATAGAGGGAACAACTAGTATAAAGGTCCCAAGATAGAAAATAACCTGTTCCTTTCTAAGACCAGAAGGAAGAAGTGTGGCTGATCTGTGGTGAGCCAGGAGCAGTGGGCAGGAAAGGAAGTCCTGGGAGGCTTCCGGGGGGCTTCGCAAAACAGGGTACAGCCATTTGGATTTTATTTTAAGCTTTGGTTAGCCAGAGAAGGGTTTTAAACAGAAAGTGACATTGTCTGATTTATGTTTTCAAAAGGTCATCTGGCTACTCTGAGGAGACTGGATTGGACGGAGGGCAAGAGTGGAGACAGGCAAACCAACCGGGAGCATGGAGCAGCAGTTTCCATGAGTGATCATGTTGGCTTGATCGAGGGTGGTAATGGCAGGAATGGAGACACGTGGTCACAGTTGGAATACATTTTGGAAGAATTTTGACAGGAGTTACTGTTAGATTGAATGTGGATGAAAAATACAAAACAAAGATGAGTTTTCGTTTTTGGCCTGGGTATCTGGGTGTTTATGGAGATGAAGAAGGGGAAAAGCAGGGGTCGCTGACTTCTGGAAGACCTCGAAACCATGTTTCCTATCTGCTCCAGAACCTACAACAGCTCACCATTACATTAAGTCTAAATACTTCTATATAGCTTTTAAGAATTTCAACAACATAGCATTATCCTACCTATGCAACCTCATTTCTTAGGCACCTTACTTTTTAGCTAATATTTTTTCTCATTCTGTCCCTACCCACTTCAAAACACAATCACACGCACACAAGTGTGCACAAGCGTACTCCTGCCTCAGTGCTTCTGCTCCCCTTGATCTCCACACCCTCTCGCCACTGCTCCCACAGCCTAACCCCACCTTATCCTTCTGTCCTTAGTTCCATCCATCTTTCCACACCCCATGCACATGTCCTCCACATACTCCCTCAGAAAACTCCAACATACCCTATCTCCCCCTAATCTGAGTTTCTGTTATCCTTGGTTATCACAGTGTAACTATAGAACTATTAATAATGATAGTGACTGTGGGGTAACAGAATCAGCCATGTACCAGAAACTTAAACGTAATAATAAAGAGAGAAGAGGAACCAAAAGATTTTCACTGATTCTGGATTAAATTTATCTTAGTCAATAATAAATTACAACCTATAGTTGTGCAGCAACTGCCAAGGAGCTGCTGTATACATCTTTTCATTTGATCTTCACAAGAACCCAAGAGGAAGACAAGACAGGTATTAGTCCAGCTAAGCGACTGAGAAACCAAGGCCTAGAGAACTTAAATAGTGTGTCTAAGGCCACAGAGCTGGTAATGGCGATTCTAGGTCAAATTAGAAGTGTTCTGACATTTTCTAGTTTAAAGAAAAAAAAAAAAAAAAAAAGACAAAGCAGGAAATAAGCATTGATAAAGGTCCTTTTTTTTGGACCATGGTCTCAATCAAAGTGTCAAAAGCAAAACAACAACAACTTCCCTTCTACTGTCACTTTGATTCCTGTTCTTATCAGTCTAAACAGCCTGGAGAGGAAATACAATCCTCAGGAATACAGGCCAAGGTGACTTCTAGATCCAAACTGGAAAATCAGCGAACTCAAGGGTAGACCAAGGAAGCCCAAGACAGAATTAGTACCATCCCTTCAACTGGCCCAAAAGACATCAGCCGCCCTTAGGTCTTCCGGACATAAAATGAACCAAGGTGGTATTAGGCTTTTCTGGACTTGCCCAGCCCCTGCACTCCAGGGAAGTCAGCTTTCTGGCAGCAGGGAGGAAAATGGCTAAGCTGGAAGGCATGTATGAACACAAAGTACTTTCACATAGAACAGCTGGGTCCCCATATTTCTCTAACATCCTAAGCACCTGTTTGTGACATTTTCTTTCCTTTCTTAAAGACCAACATTACAAGGCAGTGTAAGACATATGCTATGTCTTCCAACTAAACTCTAAATCCCACAGAGTTTTTTTGTGGAGCTAGCAACATCCAAATCTGAAGCCAGAGCTCTGGCACACAATGTAGAAAATGGTGGATCTGGGTGAGCAGCGATTTACAGAGTCGGACAACCAAAACAAAATGAATATTACAGGGCGCCGTGAAAAACCCAGATCAGGATCAGTAACTGAAAAAAAAAATAGAACTAAAAATTGGATGTTTAAAAAAAAACTAAAAAAGTCATGGTGAACTATCTTAAAGATCACAGACCCTTGTCTAAATTTCTCATTTTACAACTGGGGAAACTGGCAGTCAGTGGAAAAACGAGGATAAAAGTACATTTAATTGCTAGACCTGATGATTTTTAATTTGTAACATGTTGCACACAGATATGAACAAATCCCCTCTGATGAACAAGAATAGCGTGCAGCTCATTTCATTTCCATTTCCTTAAACTAGTAAGAGAGGAGAGAAATGAGAAGTGTGATCACCAGACTGTGAACCCCCACTCAAACTCCACCTCAAGGCTTCCCTCACTTAAAGGCACATAGTGATTATCAGAGGCAGACCAATGCATGCCTTGACTTTGTGCCGCCATTAAAATGTCTTTTTAACTGTCCCCTTAAAAATGCTTTTCTGTTAAAAGAAGCATTTCTTTCTCATCTCATTACACACGTTAGTCTTGAAAACATCTTACTCCTTTAAAATACACATTAATATAAATATTTTAATATGTACATATGGAAGAAATAGTAAGAAGAAACACATCTGTATTGCTATAGCATATTACTGGCCTCTTGTTTTAAATAAGCCATATCCATCGTGCTAAATTTACAGAAGAAAAATATGTAAACAGAAACATAACAGTAGATTCATGTTTTATATTATTGTGATTCTGGAAGAAATCTTATTTTTTAATGCACAGAATCAAACACTGTGCTTGGTTACTTGCTTTGCTGGTATTTTCCTCTGTTGTGTGAAAGCATTTACTTTCATTACATGCTCGCTCCAGGTGCCTTGGGTCCCAAACAGAAAGCTAGAAAGTTTAACACATGAAAACTTCACAGGATCTGGGATGAATCTCAGTTCTGACACTAACTATTGGAATTTAGGCAGGTCACCAATCCTCTGTGGACCTTAATTTCCTTATCCGTAAACCAAAGGGATGGGTTGTTAAATCATTTCATGGGCCTTTTTAGAATTAAAATTATATCATTCTATAATCTCTAACCCTGGTGGCGTAGTGGTTGTTTGGCTGCTAACCAAATGGTCAGCAGTTTGAATTCACCAGGTGCTCCTTGGAAACCCTATGGGGCAGTTCTACTCTGTCCTATAGTGTTGCTATAAGTAGGGATTGACTTAACTGCAATGGGTTTGGCTTTGGGTTTATGATCTCTAAGGTTCTTTTATGGTCTTCAAAAATTCTTCAACACTTTTTCTGAGGGGTAAGAGGGACACTGTGATTTGCAATGGGTGGGTCTTACATGGTAGGAATTGAGGTAAAATAAGACTTCCTTTTTATATATTACACATCCTTCTGTTTCCTTTTGTCTGTATGGAAAATAATGACTTGAATATTATCCAATTAATTAGGCCCTATGTACTCTGAACCATTAATTGTTGATTATAAGAGAAAACTTATCTAAATTAAATGTTAAAGAGTACAAAGTTTTGATTTCATAACATTTGCATTATTAGGCCTCAATACAGAAGCTCAGTAAATGTAAGTATCTGTTTTCATGTGTTTTGTTCCTCTGTTAGGATTCATGATGAAACTAAATGAGATTCAATGACCCTAATTATTAAAAGTCTGGTCTAGAATTGATGTAACTGCTATGAATCAGAATATTAATCAGAGTTTAGATTAAGATGTTGGCATTTGCTATTAAAAGGCAATAAAATTCATTTTCAATTGAGAATCTCAGCACCTTTTCATAATTTCTCTATTTTACATATTTCTTATAAAGCACCTAGCACTATGCCTGGCAAGGAGTAACTTCTTAATAATAAACAACAGCTAATGTTATTACTACCTAGGTCTTTGCAAATATTTCCTGAAAATAAATTAACTGATGAAGGTTAAAAAAGCAGACAACGGTTGTCTGCGAGGAAAGTCTGGAAGAGTTTACCTATTAGCTGGTAAGGAACATGAACAATCAGACTCAGGGTCTTGGGGAGAAAATGGACATATTGGGTTAAATAAAATATATTATTAAAATAAATTTCACCTATATATTTTCAATTTTATTAACGTGTTAAAAAAAAAACAAAACTGTTGCTGTCGAGTCAATTCCGACTCATAGTGACCCTACAGGACAGAGGAGAACTGCCCCATAGGGTTTCCCAGGAGCACCTGGTGGATTAAAACTGCTGACCTTTTGGTTAGCAGCTGAGCCCTTAACCACTGCACCACCAGGACTCCAATGTGGTAAATAGAGAATTTGAAATTACATACAAGGCTTGTAGTGTATGTCTACTGAACAGCACAGGTGTAGACAAATATCTGAATTCAGGAATTCATGATAATTGCTATGTAAGCCTGACAAAATACAGGTAAACCTCCAAATGTCTCTAGGACAACCTTTCTGACAAAATATAAATAATCTCTTCTGCAAAAAAAGAAAGCATAAACCAAAAAACCAAACCCACTGCAGTCAAGTTGATTCCAACTCAAAGCAACTGCCCTATTGGGTTTCCAAGGCTGTAACTTTATGGAAGCAGACTGCCACATCTTTCTCCTGCAGAGCAGCTGGTGGGTTCAAACCACCGACCTCTTAGCAGCCGAGCACTTAAACACTGCGCTGCCACACGCAAAATCCTAACATGGGAGTTAGAAAAATAAAAGCAACATCTAAAATATAGTTAAAAAGTAGGTTACATTTTATGGAACAAGGGTCGGGAACCTTTTTCTGAAAAAGGCCAGACAGTAAACACCTCTGGCTTTGTGAGCCACATGGTGCCCACTGCAACTTTTCAACTCAACCACTCAGCACAAAAGCAGCTATAGACAATATATAAACAGATGGACATGGTTGTATGTCAATAAAACTTTATTTATAAAAATAGGCCAGCTGAATTCAGCCTGTGGGCTGTAGTTTGCTGATTTGTGTGATAAAGCATGAATTCAAATGTTAAAATCCCAAAGTGAGTTTTAAATTAATGAGGTCTGTTTTAAACAATGCCATTAAAGAGCAAGAAAGGTCCAAATCAGCTGGAGAAAGTCCAAATGTCGCCTCATTTGGAAAAAGATAAAACTCACTAAATGAGACAGAAACAATGAAAAAAAATAAGAAAATTATTTATCTCTGGAAATAATACTTATAAAGTCATGAAAAAAAAACTTACATTTAACTCTATTATCCACAGTAATGTTACAAACAAGAGGTCAAAGGTGACAAACAGACAGAAAGTCCTTCTGACATCGGATATGCCTTTCTTTTCCCTTCCTTCATAGGACTCAATCCTGGCCATGAGCTGTGTGGGGTTGATGGAATGGACATCGCGCAGAGAAGCATGAGAGCTCTGGCTCCCAGTGAGAGCATTCTCCATGTCTTCTGGCAGGTGGTTCATCCTGGAGGAGGGTTAAAGGAGCCTTTCCCCGACTTCACCATCCCTAGAGAGAAGAGACCTTGGGAGAATAAAAGAGAGAGACCAAGTTAAATGAGAGCTCACCTAATGCAACTGCACTACGCCCCCCACCACGCAACTATTTCTGTAACTGAGCAACAGTGACTGAGGACTGCAGCTTCAACATAAAGAGAAAGTGAAACGAGAAGCAATTCATGATGTTATCAGCTAATACTAAAAAATGATTTAGGGAAAAAAATAACAATAAAGAAGAATGCAAATATATACTAGGGAAGGCTGGAGACAGGATATTAACCACAACTACAAGGTGTGGCTGATGACCTGGAGTAAGCTGTCTCTTGGTGAAAGAGTCCAGCCGGTTCCTTTGCTGTGCTAGTGAGAAAACCTTCTACGGTCCTAAACTGTCACAACACATGGACTAGTAAAACACTGACTGAACAGTTTCCTAGAGGGCATGTAACCAGAACGCGTGCTCTAGCTACATATAAAAGATTTGTTTCCCAAACGGGAATTGCTTGCCACCCAAAAAAAAAAAAAAAAAACCACTGCCATCGAGTCGATTCTGACTCATAACGACCCTACAGGACAGAGTGGAACTGCCTCAAAGGGTTTCCCAGGGGCACCTGGTGGATGTGAACTGCCGACCGTTTGGTTAGCAGCTGAGCTCTTAACCACTGCACCAACAGGGCTCCAAAAGTTAAAGCTACAATACTTTAAAATGAGAAGCACTTCTATCAAAATTACCTAATAAATGGAATTCAGCATTTCTCCATCGCCTCTTGTGGCTTAGTGGTTAAGAGCTACATCTGCTAACCAAAAGGTCAGCAGCTGGAATCTACCAGGCGCTCCTTGGAAACTCCATGGGGTAGTTCTACTCTACCCAATAGGGTCACTATGAGTCAGAATCGATTCAATGGTAACGGGTTTGGTTTTTTTGTTTTTTTTTCCTTGCTTCATGAACAAACATGTTTCTGGGCCTCATCTTAGAAAAGTGCACACACTCCAAAAAGTTCCGGCACTATGCAAACACCTCACTGATCATTACAGAAGCTACAGCCCTATATGGAGATGCAGGTCCTCTATGGCCAGGAGGTGCTTCTGTAATAAGAGTAAAGAATATTAACCTAAACGAATCTCCTCATGGATGGGACAAGGTCATTAAACAGAAAGTCTGGTGGGTGTTATTATTCGCCAAGTACTCCTGATTCTCCTCCTGCAGTACCCCTCCTTGTGGGGGGATTAAATGCCCCTCGTGTGTTGAACTCATGTGTCTTCCTTTGGCCTATGCAATACAGGCAGAAGTTTATGTCACTTGTGACCAGAAGTCTGAAGAGACTGTGTGGTTCGCCAGGTTCTCCTCTCTTCAGCTGCAAAAACTGGCAATGTTCAGTTAAAGAAGAACATTTTCAAGGCGGGTAAAATAGAATTGGAAATATATTGCTGACATTTCCATAAAGTAATACAGTCCTATTTGGTGCTATTCGCTCTCAAGAACTTTGTCCTCTACACCTCATCTTAAACTTCTTCCTTCCCAATTTCAGGAACAAAAGTCCTTTCCACACTTTCATATAATGCAGTGATAAAATGACATGATAGTTTTGAAACCAATTTGGTTATATGAAATAAGATACTTTAAAATATTCATACCTCTTAATCCAGTAATTCTACTTCTAGAAACCTGAAGAAAATTAAACCACAGACCTTCAATTTTTGATGTATGGCATTAGAAGTCAGGCTAGTGGTTATCTTTGGGGCGGAGGGAAGGAAAAGTGGGGAAGGGACATTTGGGGAGTTTGGTAAATTTCTCTTTCTTGACTAGACTAGTGGTAACATGGGTGTGTTCACTCAGCGGGAATTTACTAACCTAACCCAGGTAGTAGTTTCAGTGGTATGCTCACTTGTGAAAAGTCCAAACGCTGTACACATAGGAACTGTGCACCTCTCTATATGTATAGTATTTTTCAATAAAAATCTTTACTAAAAAAGTTTTTATCATAATATATCTATAACAGTCCCAATTAGAAAACAACCTTAATATCTAACTATTGGGGAATAATTAGATAAAGCACAGAATATCCATAGTATAGTCATTAAAATAAATGCTTAGCAATAATTTATAATAACTTGGAAAATACTTATAATGTTGACTAGATTAAAAACATGACTAATAGAATATACATATTTATATACATCTATGTGTGTGTGTATATATACATATATATGGAGTCCTGGTGGCACAGTGGTTAACTGCTCAGCTGCTAACTGAAAGGTTAGCAGTTGGAACCCACAAGTCAATTTCCGGGAGAACGATGTGGCAGTTTGCTTCCGTAAAGATTTACAGCCTTGGCAACTCTAAGTTCTACTCTGTCCTCTAGGTTCACTATGAGTTGGAATCGACTCGACAATAACAGGTTTGGTTTGGTTATTTATATATATATATATACACACACACACACATACATATAAATATTTCACAACTCTGTAAAATAAATCAAAACCAAATTCTTAAAAAAATATATGAAATATACCAGATGTTAACAATGATTCTGTCTGGTTGATGAGGTTATATTTTTCCCCTAATTTTCCTTTTCTACATTTTTCAAACTTCTTATTTTGTACACATTACATTTACAATGGAAGAGACTCACTTTAAATGTTATTTTTTAAAGTCTTGGACAGCTGTTGCCAGGCTTTTTGTGGCTTTTCCTCATTTGTCGGCTAACCTGACCACTATTAGGTAACAACCTCTGTGTCATTAGATAAGTTTCCTCAGAGTCAGCAAATCAGAAAAGCATTCTGAAAAGCTAAAATGGAGTCCACCTCAATGCTTTGTAAAATAAAATATAAAGTTCCAAAAACAGAGTATTTCTACACGATTTCTGTCTCAGTGAGAGCCTTATAACAACATCCTAGTGGAAGGAATATCACTGGCATATTACCCAGTACAGCAGCTCTTAAAACAAGGCTTGCAAAGCATTGAAGTTATTTGTCAGAATTCTAAGAGTAAATTCTGGAAAAATAAATAAAAATGAACATAAATAGTATGCTTACTGTGATGAAACACACATTTTGAAGTTCAAAAAGAAAGCTAAAATGTTCTCTAAAACTGTACCTGGATGAGTACAGGCACATTCTACGTTAAGAAAGATCAACTGAGGTAATTTTTAAGCCCATCCAATAATCTACTAGCAGCTACTAGAATTTAACAATTAATTTAAATTCTTACATTTACTAAACTCTAAATTCAACAAATTGAAAACCCAGCGGACTATTTTTAGGAGGAAAATCATTTGCAAAGTAATAGATCATTTTCATACTGTCTCAGTCCCCCTTTCACAAGCCCACTCCTTGTGAACACAAAAGGACAACAAAAGTAAAACACCAACCCTAGAAATCTGAGGCTTTATATTTTAAAAAAAATAACATTTATACAATGGTATACACAGATATGACTTGGGAAATGAGAATCATTACATTATTTTTCAGGGGTGTG